CACTGAAAGCTATAAAATGACAAATAATACAAAGTAAAACCTCCTTACAAAAATTATATGCTCCAATAAAAGTATCTTTCATCACACTAAATTTAACTCTGACTTTAGTTCACAACTGTTGCTATTTCAAGATAAAACATAACATACCTTACTGTGTGTTCATCCTTGGCAATATTTAAAATATTTGATGCCAGCTCTCTATTAGTGATGTTTTTCTTCTTTCCACTACCTGAAGAGGCAATGTTTATGTTGCTCACAGAGCTTTGCACCACCCACTTAGAGTTTCGAGAGGCTATTGTCAGACTACTGGTTTTCGATATCTTATCTTGCTCACAACTTTCATCACTTTCATCAAAATGATTTACATTATTCACTCTTTTGGACAGATGAGTTTCCATGTATTGATATTCATGCTTTTCAATAACACTGGGATTATTATTGTGTTTCCTTACATCATGTGGATCTAACTCCGAGTATCTGTTGATGGCACTAGGATTGTGGCAATGAATACTCCCAATACTGATGACTCCTTTACCAGGAGGGTTTCCATTTACATTAGAATTTTTCCCATTAGTCTGACTAAGATTACAGTGTCCAACACCATTTGAGATTACTTCCTCGTCATTTTTAGAGACTGAAAAATGAATCAAAATTAGTATGCTTGTCAAAAAAAGTGAACCCGAATTGTTCTACAGAAAAATTAAATTTCTGTGAAAATAAAACTTGTTAAAATCGTTTCTGATAAAAAACTGTAGGAATAATAATAGCTTCATAATTTGTTTTTAATAAACTATAATTCTTAAAAGTAAAACTTTCAGCCAATAAAAAAAGCATATATATGATATTATTTATGATAAAAATTTAAACTAAATTCACAAACCTTTGTTAAACATGTGGAAACCATGTTAGTTACTAAATCTTTGATTTACGTGATAAATTATACTTTACTGTCAGAATACCTGAAACTAAGTTTCAATGTGTATAGTTTAACATATATAGTAAAAAAATATTTAATAATTACAGCCCAAATAAACAATTATAAAGAGAAAAAATAAATACCTATTAAATATTTGTCTATCACATTTCGAAAAAAAAAAAATTGAAGATTTATCCTTCTCATTTTACCTATCAACAAAGACCAAATATTTAAACAATAATTTTGTAAAATACTCTTTCCTTTTTATTACAAAATAAAAAAACACATGACAGAAGAAATGTATTCAATTTGAGCAGAGTTTACTTAAGCTTCTCAGCCCCAAAGACTGATTGAAAAGAATTATTAGAAATCCTTTTCTTAACCGAGTTAACCCTATGTACATGGGGTCAGTCCATTAGACTGACCCTGTACTGGAGAATTTATGTGTTTACTATAATTCCATATTTATATTGTCTACCTTTGATTTTTTAGAAAGCGGATGCCATAAAAAACGTTTGTGCACCACTGTACTAGTCTATGGTATTTTCAGTATCACTTAAAACTGAAATGCTGCACTCAGTTGGATACTCAATCCCTCAGGTACTGAAACTGTTAAGTCTTCTTCTGAAGATTGTTGGTCCACATTACAGTAATTTGGTTTCAATATTTGCTGTGATCAACATTCTTTCAAATTAATGGAAATATGTATAGTTAGCTCCCACTCCTTTACACTAAATTTAATGTCACTGGCAAAAGCCATAATTAACTTGTTGCAGTTGTGTGATAGATCTGGCACTGGACTGGTGTTAAAACTAAAAATTATTGATAGAGGTTCAGAATATTTTCTAATAGTTTAAACTCTGTTGTTACTATATTATAACATTTAAACCACACATTTTTAATATGTGTATTCAATTTTTAAACAAACTGATTAGGTCTTTACTAAAAACTTAATGCCACTTTACTAAATAAAGTAAGTGGTTTACATGGTATCATAATGGTTAAATTTGATGTATAATACACTATTACAAATAAAATATCAAACTGTTTATTTGACTTACCCTTCTCTGATGTTAGACTTGAAGGTTCTGCAGGTAAAGCTTGCTGCAATAACTGTATATAAAATGTATTTTCTTTTGCTACTTCCTTTTGTTTTCTCTGTAAATAATAATATTTACATTAAAAACTGACATATGGTTCTTAAAATAATTCTATGTGAAGGAAAAAGATAAACATTCACAAACTTACATGCATTTCTGCAAATATTTAAATAACAGTGATTTAGAAATAAACATTACATTGTTGAATGATAACTGTTAAGTTCACAAGAAACTAAATGGAAAACTCCTACATTGCATAATTATGTTGCATGTGCTTTCTTCAGAGGCATCAAAGTACTTAATTTACAGTCAAAAAATGTGACTTAACTCAGTGAAGTAATTGTGAGTTCCAAGATGTGAGTAGACATAATAAAAATTCAAATGCTCGAGGACCTTTAAAAGAAGCTAAGATGCCAGTGAGAGCATTATTTGATATTTCATGAAATTACCTAGTTAAGATATAGTATCAAAACATCAGTAATGAAATACGACAACTTATTTTGATTTTGGCACAAAAACATAAGCACAGACCACTATATTCGGTATGGTAAATGTTCAGTGTTTTAGTGGCACATTACTACCCTAGTAATCATTGTTTGTTTGTTTTGAATTTCGCGCAAAGCTACACGAGGGCTATCTGTGCTAGCTGTCCCTAATTTAGCAGTATAAAACTAGAGGGAAGGCAACTAGTCATCACCACCCACCGCCGACTCTTGGGCTACTCTTTTACCAACGAATAGTGGGATTGATCGTCACATTATAATGCCCCCACGGCTGAAAGGGCGAGCATGTTTGGTGTGACAGGGATTCGAACACACGACCCTCAGATTGTGAGTCAAGCGCCCTAACCACCTGGCCATGCCAGGCCTCCCTAGTAATGAAATTAGAATACCACAGAATTCTAAATTAATTTGTTTCCAAAAATGTAATATTGCATCTATTTACCTTATATTATTTTTTATTCCGAACATCTAGACCAAATACAAAATGTGTCACACACAAAGAACAGACAAATAAAACTAAGGTACAAACTATTAAGTGGGAATGATAAAATATACTTTAGTAAGAGAAGTAAGAAACATACAGCTATGTGATACACAATCCATTAAATCTAAACTTCACCCATAATCTTTATATGTAAAATTAAACTAGAAGTGAATAAGACAGGGAGGTATGGATGTTTAAGCCTACTGTTTACAGCCAATTATGAAAAGGCATTTCCACCTAATGAAAGAGAAATAGAAAGGATCAGAAGAAAAAAATATTAATAAAACAAGCCACTGGAATTTATAAGCAAAATTTATGTCTTGAAATTGACATTCCAGTCATATACAAGTCATACACCTATATGAACAGCTTTACAAAACCTAACATATCTAGGTCAATAAACTCTACTAATGAAATGATGGAAACTACAATTTAACCTTCAAATTTTAATACTGTAGAAATGCAACTACTCTCTATGTTAAAATAATTGTTCAATTATATGAATCTGTATGAAGATTGTTGATCCTCCAAATGTAAAAATTAAAATGGAAGATGGTTCATAGTGTACCAAAAATCAACAAAAACAAAAACATCAATAACTGTAAAGTTTAGAAATATATATATAAGGAACAAAAGGCTGAAAAAAGGTAAGACATTAAAAAATTAAATGAAGAAGCTACTGATAAAACTTTAAAGTATATTTAAGTGAATATTTTACACAGTTAGTAAAAAAATATTGTATGATGTCAAGAAGATAAAAAGGAATTAAATCTTAAGATTGTGTGGCAAAAAATGAGTGTTCATAAGAAACTTGAAAAGAGCAAGGTATGAAAAACTAAAAAAAGATAGACAGAATAGTGGCTATCTTCTTTTAGAAACAATATACAACTTTTAATGTTAGAAATACATGAATTTCAAGCTTATAAGTGTTGTTATATGTAATAATATTTCCAAATGTTTTGGTCAAACATGTAATTCATTTCTTTAACCAAATAACAATAATAAGAAAATAAGCATCTTATAACTTTCATTTGTTTGTTTTAAGGCAAAGTCTAATTGTGCTCTGTTCAAACCCATGGGACACAAAAATTACAAACTATTAGATGATAGTAAAAAAATTGTTACCATATTTTTTAATAATTGACTAAAAGCTTTTGAGACAGTGTTACATATTATTATAAAACTTAGAAAATAAAGAAATTAAAAGTTTTAGATTTGAAATTACTTAAAAGTTATTTAACTTAGAAAACAGAATATACTATGTATATAATGGCTGGAGATGGCTTGAAAGAAAAACTTTAATATAAGTTTAACTATAACAGCAAATAGCACAACGTTTACGTACAAGGTTTAGTTCAGTACGTGGGTAGGGCGAAGGACACGACAGGGGAGTAGG